CCGTTTAGGGAATATCGTAAGCTGCTGGTAAGCGAAATTCTACGCTGAATGTCAGCGGCTGTGTTCCCTGAACGCGCCCATTATGTCGAGTAGATAGTTCTTTGACTGAAATGATAAATTTGGAACTTTTTATTTTTTTAAATTAATCATAATTTTTTCTTCGAAAAAAATGAAATTCCCCCTCGGAAAGAACATGAATATGTTTTTGTCAGTTGATAAATAATTATGCTGTGCTCAAAGTTGCGATTGTGTATTGAATAAAACTTCGTCAATTATCTTCAATTTCTAACCTTGTTGCCGGGACAAAAATAAGCCGCGGGTATGAAATACACATTTTCTATGTTAAACACGGTAGCTTTATTGAAAAATAGTAATTTTTTACATTAAAAAATATATACCGATTTCAAAAATACCAAAATCAAGACTTTTAGTCATATTTTCGAAGAATTTAGACCTTATTTTTGTCACACCTCGAATTGTCCATATTTATACTTTATTTTAACGTATTTTGGCACCGAAATTTCTTAAAAAATATTTCGAGGTCACTTCTAAATCGCTATTTTTTAACAGGCGTTACAAGGTTGTCTGGTGCGAATATCAAACAAATATAGTTATAGGCGATATCGTGACACTTTAGATGAGCAATGATGAAGACTTTGTTACATCCTTCTATGCATATGAGTGGATTGATTTGCTTAAGCTGGATGTCGCTCATAAAATCACCCATAAAAAATATTTTATGGGTGATGTTTTATGTCTTTCAAATACTGTACTGTTTATTTTTGTTGTATTACAGTTCACAATCGTCTCGACATATCTCCGGTTGTCTCGGCTTATCTCCGTTTGTCTTGACCTACTTTCATTTCTTGAAAACGCCTCGAAACTATTCGTGAAAAAACCGAGACAAATACTTTTTTTCATAAATTTCAGTGAAATAAGTACACATAGACGTCTCTAAAATATCTGTTGTTAACGATGATATTTCGCTAATTATATCTATCTCGTTTTATGTTGATATATTCCACAAGATTAATATTTGAACACGCGTTTAATAATATGTATAGCAGATATTTAAGCACAAAACTTTTCGGTTAATCTGAAGGAATATAATTACAATATTTTTATTATTTAATTTTATTTCTAATGGAATTACATATTTCGAGAAATGCTTCGCGCAATGTTTTACGAAATATATTTAGAAACATTTCGGGCATAGTGGAGGGTGTTTAACTTATGTTTATTCGGAACAAATAAATTATCTATCTATCTTGTATTTTTGAATTTTTTGTATTACGAGTATTAAAATAATACTCAACATAATAGAACATTTTAATACACACACATTTATATGTTTTATTACGAATGAAGACACAATTTTTGAAGTAAGTGAAATTAAAATGTTTTTCAAAATATCTATATTTACACAGTTAATTGTTTTTCAAAATAACAATATTTTTGCCCTTTGAATAACCCAAGAAATATAAACAATAAAGTCAATTAATATATTTTTTGTTCTAAGACTGAATACAGAATAATATTTTTGAGAGAAATGTCGATGACCTAAGTAACAAGTTAAAAAACTACATGGTATATAGGGTGAGTCAACTATAAAGTTCATTATTTTATTTATTTTGTAAATTAAAAAAAAATGTTAAATAGAATTAAATGTTTTAGAGAATACATATTAAGATGCACATTTTAAAATTATTTTTGAATATACAGGGTGCTTTATGAAAAAAATATAGCATGATTTTTTTTAATGCAACACCCTATATTATATTTACTGTTTAGATTCTGGTAAAATTCTATATTTTTTTAAATATTATGTTATATACCTAAAACTAGTAACTGTTTGGTTTGGTTTGTTAGGTTGTTTGTTAAAAAATGTTAGGAGTCGGGGATAAAAAATGCAACATTTTCAAATTCTCCTTGTATTTCAGAAACTAAAGAGCCAGGACAAATCTGTATGTATAGCTAATTCTTATCTTTTTTAAACAATTTCACTTAGTTAGACATGGAATAGCCATGGAAACAAATTCAGTCGTCGCGTCGTTGCCTCTCAGAGATGTCAAACTGTCACATCCAAAGAAAAATATTTTATCGAGACGCAACTAAATTGTAAATATGAATTTTTCAAATGAAGAAAAGCGTGTGAAATTATTGGTTCAACTCTTCTTGGACCATACGTTTTCGAGGATACATTGACCGGTGAACGTTACTTACGCTTTTTAGAGGACGGTTTTCAAGACATGTTAAAAAAGTTAAATTTAGAGACTGGCCATCAATAGAGTGGTTCCATCATGACTTTCATTATGACGTTCCCCCTCATAATAAAAGAAATGGAAAAAGATATTTACATATACACTTGCGTGCATAGAAATCGGCCCAAGATAAACTTTTGAAGTTAACTATATATTTTTTAGAATATATTTGTCAGATTAAGAAAAAATATATACTGTTTGAAAGACAATTTTATATTCTTTGAAAAGAGTTTAGAGATATTAATTTGTATTTTGGTTTCTTTGGATTAAAATTATTAAATTAATGCATGAAACAAATTATCGTTTTTTATTACTAAGATGTATGCCATTATTTATTTATTTATTGATTGACAATTAACTAAAATAAATTTTCAATAATGGAGTATGACCTACTCTTATAACATCTCTCATACAGTTTGGCATAGATTAATCCAAGTTTGATATCAACTTGCATTATGTTAAGCCATCTGCAACAATGAGCTCTGGGATAGAGGTTGGGGCTCTTTGTCTAGTACGAATCCTTCGTTTTAGCTCATCCCATAAATGTTCTATCGTGTTTAAGTCTGGACTGCATGCTGGCCATTCCATAACCCGAAAACCGACTTCTGAAATGTAATCGTGTACGATTCTTGATGTGTGTGCTCTCGCATTGTCATGCATAAAAGTGAATTCGCTTCAAATGTAATCGACGTAAGGTACCACATGAACTGCTAAAATCTCCTCAATATACCTAGCACCAGTTAAACCTCCTCTCCCGTGCCGACGGTCGTCCCAACAGATTAAAACTGGGTCGGTTCGCGCAGTCATAGAAATTGTACCCCAGATCATGCAGAAACCACCTCCATAAGCAATCCGCTCCTCAATGCAGCATTCTGCGAATAGCTCACCTGGTCTCTGGAACACTTTACTTCTTCGGTCGCTACCATAGAGGCATATCCTGGTCTCATCTGAGAATAAAACACATTCCCATTGTTCTAGTGGCCAATTCAGATGTTCCGTGCAAAAGGCAGGCGTGTTTGACGATGAGCTGGGGTAAGTTTTGGACCAATTGCGGGTGTTTTGGGGGTCATGTTACTTTTCTTCATTCTTTGTCTTACTATCCTCTGACTAACAGTCACTCTTCGTGTTTCAAGGAGCTGTTGTTGCACCTGAACAGCATTAAGATGCCGATTTCTTATTATTGTTGACACAATAAAGCAGTCATTACGATCCGTTGTATATCTCTTTCCACCAGTTCCAGGTCGCCTACGAAAGGATCGAGTCTCCTCATATCGTTCACACACTCTTGCGTGTCATATGCAGTTGCCGAGCTTCTGTTTAAGTCCATTTTCAATTAAAGCGATTACTTTGGCAGCTTTTTTCCGTGATGTATGCATTAAATTGAAACACTAAACAAACAATGAAACACAACAAATCAAACAATGAAAGAACAATGTGCAAAATTCGATTACAAAGTAACAGTAAAGTAGTAATTGCAATATTTGATAAGTTTTTTATTCTTATTGTCACCACAATACAAATGCCTTTCATTCACATTTCTACGCATAAGTACAAACGATAAGTACTTTAGATAAATTTATACTCATATTAAAGCATGTTAAATTGTCTTTGAAACAGCTCATATTTTTTTCTTGGTCTGATAAATAGATTCTAAAAGACACAGTTAAAGTCAAAAGTTTACAGGGGGCCAATTTCTATGCACGCAAGTTTATATCATAATTATGCAAACTCAGGGATAGGAAGAGGTGGACCAATTGCATAGGCCTCCTCGATCACCTGAACTATCCGTTTTAGATTGTTTTGTGCGGTATGGTTAACAACAAAAAGCTTTCATTGAAATGTACAAGAAAAGTTATGAATCAAGACAGGCACTCGAAGAGGCAGTACAGGAGAAGTTTAATAATGTCGACTGACCATTCTGTAGCTTGTAATTCAGTTTTCAAAAAAAAAATAATTTTATGTAATCAAAACTATGCCGGATTTTAACATTGGCTTAAATAACTTAAAGTGTATATAATAATATTAGTTTTTAAATTTTAAGTTGTTTAATGTAAATTGTAAAGAACCGTTTAATAAAATATTATCTATAGTCTTTTTATAAGTTTTAAATCCTAATAGAATAAGAATACTATCCCAACTAAGTGAAATTAGTCAAAAAAGATAAGAATTGGCTATAACTTAGTAATTTTTCGAAAAAATATATTATAGTTTATACCGCTGGAAAGCTCTTAACATAATGTTTTTTTTAAGTCATGGCCAACTATTGTTTCCAATTACAAAAATGTGTGTTTGTGTCATATATCAAAAATAACAAACATTAGAAAAAAACGGAGAACACAATCTCATGAAGGATGTGATTATCTACAACTTTTATCTGAAAACTTTTTGTCTAAAATAGATTTAATGGAATTAGTGAGCATTTTTAAGATAGCCGAAATTTACAATTTGACCGACTCTTTAGCTTCAATAGTAGTTTCCAAGATACCCATAGAGAACATCGTAGAAAACTCACCCTGTATCTAAACATATCCTAATATGAAATTAATAAAACCGCGTATAAGGGAACCGCGCAAAATAAATCACTAGTGTCAAACGTGCAAGGAGGATTCTTGTATTATATCGACCATACTTTACAACTGAGTAAACGGACTTTACTCTATCCTCGACTCACCCTGTACATTATCGACCGTCGCCGCCTTGTTTATTTAACATCATCTTTCGATAAAAATCGATTGATTTAACCGCCTCAAAGTGGTTCCTCTACTTCTTAATGTCGATGCGGCGGTACTATACGCCCGAACCGCAGCTTTCATTGAAATAGTTGAGTTTCATAAGTGACCAGTTGTGCTCCGGTGATCAACATCTTTAGTACTACCTAACGCCAACAACCTACTTGTTTTGTGTTTGTTTTGTATTCGGTAAGTACCTTAATCTATTACTGTTTACTTTTCTTATTATATTATATTATATTATATTTTTAATTTTCTTTTGGTCTTCGAATAAATTTATTTCTAGCAAAAAAAAACGCAACGGAAAAATGTTTCGTTAAGTTTAAAGCGTGATATTTTTTTAGTAAGAAAACTTTAGTATTTGACTTATTATAGAGGGTTAATCGAAGAGTTATATTTTACCCTATCTTTAAAACACCCTGTGCAATAATTTCGTGAGCAAATTTTCCTAAAACATTATTTTTCGGTCAGAACTATTTCTCCTGAATATGTTGTTTTTTGACTAATGTTAGCACATGCCTTAGTTAATTTTTAAGAGCAAGATGAACTTGCCACAAACATTTTGCAATTTATTCAATTATCGTTGCTTTTTGATGTTATCATTCATAATTACGAGGTGGCTTTGGTGACTATTATTGTGTACGATTTAATATGGTTCTTAGTGTCGAAGCTTGTGCAAAAATCATTGGTCTTGTTAAAGATGGTCGAAATTATGAATATTCTCTAGGTCCTTGAAGAAGGATAGGAAAATATAACAATATATTTGCAGGCTCATTGGCAGTATAACCGACTTCTACAGACAGTTATAGCAGCCGGTGGAAGCAATACAAAGTATAAGAGTATTTTTTTACAAGTTTTTTGTTTGTTTGTACTTTGTACACTTCGTTATTTACAGTTGTGTTTTTTAATAGATATCCTTAGTTCTGTTAGTGTTACTACTATTTATTAAAACCAAGCCTGTATCGTTACTTTTTAACGTTTTTTTTAAATTTTAATATAAAGTTCTAATACAGTGACGATATGGCATTACGACAATAGTCTCCAAAGCCCACCTCGTGATATTAAAAAATAACATCATAAAGTAATGACGTTAGATAAGTTGAAAAAATTGCAAATTGTTGGTGGCAAGTTCATTTCGCTTTTAAAAACTAACCAAGGTATGTGTTGACATGAGTCAAAAACAAAATTCTCAGGAGACATGGTATTCTGATCGAAAAATATTGTTTTGGGAAAATTCAATTAACCCTGTATAATCAGCCAAATACTAAAGTTTATAAAAAACTGAGTTTACGAATTAAAGTTGATAGATTTATATAGTTTGCTAAAAAAATCCTATTTATTATTAATACAATAAATTATTAATTTATTTTTATTAGTTGATATGAAAATAGGGCTAAAAATAACAAAAATATAACACTTCAACTTAACGAAAAAAAATTCGCTTTTTTGCATTGATTAGCTATTTCTGTTTTTGTATATGTTGTGATTTAATATTACCTAAGGATAACATCAATTTCTAAACTTAATATCTCATAATATATTATCTATTTAATTATCTGTTATTATTATTTTACCAGTAAATTTTTAATAGGAATATATCTACTAAATTAGCATTTAACTGTCTTGTTTGTAAAAAAAATGTTTGTAATAGGTATCAGAAAATATATTAATAATTACATAATATAAATATAATTGGTACAGAGCAATAAACAATAATTGAAATAATAATTAATTATTTCTATTCTAATTTTGCCCGTTTGGTTGGCAATTTTAGAAATTCGAATATTTATAGGTTGTTAACTAGGAATGTCAATTTTTTGACGATATTTAAATTCGTTTTCCATTATAATGAAAGTTTAATCAAAACGAGATAAGAAATAAATGAATTTAATCTGACGGTTTTCTCATTTTTTTAATTTACTTGTTGAATTAGTGTTTAAAAATATATAGCATATAAAGCCAGTATCTGAGACGGCTCAGTGATGAGGTGTTCTACAGCATTACTCATTTTTAGACTTTTTATGGGTTAAATGTGAGACACTCTTTTCTGTATGCTGACTTTTTTAGGCGTACTTTTGTAGGAGAAATAATTTTGTATTTAAATGGTTTGAACTATACAGGGTGCTACAAATTCGAGGTACGAGCATTGGTATCTCGAAAACCGTAATAGATACGAAGATGGTTAAAATGGGCCAAAGTTGCCTCCTTGGGATATTCACCAAGACGCCATCAAAAAATTTTTAAAAAATCAAGGATTATTGAGTTTTTTGGAAAAAAACGAATTTTTTAAAACTTAATTTTATGTTTCCTGTCGTTACTTTTTAGAAAATCAAAAAACTAATTGCACATTCTGATAGCCACTTTATTAGGACTATCTAAGAGTATATTTCAAATTAGATGATAATTTATGAGATACAGAGGCCAACTTAATTTGTTTAAATACGGACCTGCATTTTTTATTTCAGGTTTTGAAAGAACTCGGTCTCCTGAGTACAGTGATATGCCACACTTGATATTCTTTTTTATTTTGGGTACCTTAACAATAACAAAACTATTTGATTATTATTTAAGATAATTTTAAGTCCGACTCTGGTTTTTTAAATTATTTAATCTGACTATATTCATCGCAACAATATTGATCAGCGCTAATTAACATTGTATAAGAAAAATCGAGCCATTTGAAAGATTCAAATAAATAATGTCTAGGTTAGCAATTTAAAGATATTCTTATTAACTCTTTTTATTGTGAATTTGAAATCTCAATGTCTAATCTAATCTAATAATAAACATAATATTAATCGTAGTAATTATAAAAAATCAACTTTTACAAACTAGTTTCTAATGCTCTACATGTTCGAATGGGTTCGCTCGTTCAATCTTATTTATAGCTCTTTGAACATATCTTCTTCTATACTTCCGAATGCATTTTGTACTATTTATTGTAAATGTTGAAATGTATTGATTTCATTTTTACAAATGAAGTCAAGAAATTCCCCCCTCTTCGCTCTTTGGCGACAGATCCAGGAACCTCGCCATTATACTGCTCCACCATTTCAAATCCATCTTCCGGAGAAATAACTTGATTGTTTATATTATATCATATTTATATTATTTATTTTATATTATTTTTTATTATTTTGTTGCGTTTGATTTTCCTTATTCAATATTTTACCCCACGTCATTGTTAAGTTGGAAACCTTATCAATATTGTAACGTATTATATTATATAAATCTATTCATGATTAAATATTTAGAAAAGAAAACATAACCGGACTTGACATTAGTTTAAATAAATTGTGTTCAAATGTCCAAAACACAAAAATAATATTAAGTGTGGCATATCATTGTACTCATGAGACAGAGTTCTTTCAAAACCTGAAATATAAAATGCAGGTCCGTATTTAAAAAAAATAAGTTGGTCTCTGTATCTCACAAATTATCAGCTAATTTGAAAATCTAAAAATACTATCAGATAGCCCTGATATAAAGTGGCTATGAGAATGTGCCATTAGTTTTTTGATTCCCTCAACATCCCCCCCTTCGAATCTATTACGGTTTCCAAGATACCAACGCTCGTACCTCGAATTTGTAGCACCCTATTATAAATAAAAATGAAACCTTTAAAAAATGCCTCATTCTACACCACTTGACACTAAGTATACTTTGAAATTCGACTTCATAAAGATAGATATGTGCATATTTTAGTAGGTATAATTCTTTTTTACAGTTATGTTAGTATATGGAATTAAAAAATGACTAATAAGCGGGTAATCTTTAATTTGCAATGTTTGCATTGTAAAAGGACATTCTTTGCATACTGATTTTTGGTTTAGACAACTGTTCAACAGCAAAAGCTCGTTTGAGTACACAATGAACAGTAAATATTATTTTTAAGCATATTAAGTAAATTGATGATTACTCGTATATTGCATAAACCAAACCAGTTGACTACCAAGTTTGAAGTATTTTACTATTGAATAATAATTCATTTTAAATTGATATACTCGTATAAAATCAAGAAAACTTTCTAATACAATTTTTTAATGCATTAATAATAATAACATACAAGTAGTTATACGACATCAGTAATGATTTATACCGGGTGACGCATCGACGTTGGAAATATAGGTAATCCCATGCAAATTTTGAACTTTCGAAATAATGGCTCCCGTATTGATTTTATAGCGAAGTCGTAAATAGTTTTTTAAAGGTCTGCATACGCTGAATAAACATGCCAAATTTGAACAATTTTGAACAAGCCAATTTTAACTACTTTAAGAAAAACTGTAACTATATTTGATATCAATTAAATTTTTAGTTACGTAATCGAGGGCGTGATTTTTAAATTCATGGATGCCAACTATGGACATATAAGGCGCCGAGCTGATTATAACTCTGTTTTTTTTCTCAGGTAAGATTTCGACAGACGATGACAGAAAAAAAGCAGATGACTTCCATACCAATCCATTTATTTCACTAAAAAAAGTTTCTAATATTTTTTAAGTTAACTATGGATGGGTTTATAAATAAATACGTCATGCGTCGTCTCTTGTTGTTTTTAACCAGTTTTATTGGTTTATTTCAAAAATGACAGATCATATTTCAATATTATTGGTTTGACGCAACGATGAACGAAAAACGGACGCCTATGCGTATGAACTCGACTTAAGATTTTTGAGAGTTGTCAAACTCTTGCCAAATTATAGGTTATAATTTAGTGTCAAATTATGTCAAATAGAAATGATAAATATTTTGCATTTTGCATTTTGGACTGTGTTGTTACATGTGTTTCGTGTTTTTTTTTAAATTAAGTGGAGGAAAACTCGAGGGAAAATTAAGTGTTGACCCAGACCATAGTTTAGAGTTAATATTCGGTGCACAGAGACCGCCAGAGATACAGTTTGCCAGAGACTATGGCCAGAGAGTTGTATTAGCCACAAATAAAGTTGTATACCATCTCGTATATCGTATATGGTACCAAAAACTGGAGTATCTGTAAAATAACATCACACGATAGGTAAATAATACATTTTAGTACTGCAGAAAAAAATAAGATTAAAGTTAATTAACCAAGATTAGATGTTTTCAGTTTCATACAGTTTTTTTTCACAATATTTTGAAGTAATCACTTGTCACTCAAAATTTAAATATATTAATTATGCGTTCCAATTGTACCAACTTATTTCTTT